CCCCAAAACCCCAAAACCCCAAAACCCCAATTGTATCAAAATATCAATTGAAAAGAACTAATTTAAATAATTGAAAAATTATAAAATGAGAAGCGATCGAAAAGATGATATCAAAGTAAAGTATTTGATTTTGACTTAACCAGATAAAGATTAATGGACTGAATAAGAACACTAATAACAGTTCACAGCATAATAATTCCTAATCTCATGGCAATATAGATGAATCCTCCTTATCCTCTCCAGTCACTAAGTAAATATTCAGCAATAATAATTGAGTTTCAAAGGAAATACTATCAGAGAGAGAACATGAGCTTTGAAAATGAAATGGACAGTGAATCGGAGAGAGAACCATAGCACTCAATCAATTCATCCTAACTGAAAGAAGATGATGACAAGTTAGATAATGAACTTTAGCAAAGTGGCAACGAATTCATTATTAAGGAGGATGGTTTTGAAGATATTAAAAAGTCCTCTACTTTATTTAATCAGGTAAGAGTCTCAGAGTTCATATCACTCTACTTTTCGATGACTGCTGTAGCGTTGTCTGTAATTGGTAAGATACCTATTATGAGAAACTCATTTATTTATAGCCTATGAAAAGGACTATTACAATCTACTTAATGACATGCCGAATGATCATATTGACTCTATCAATGTGTCTATTATAATGTGGGTTGCTTTTGTTTTCAACATAATGCTGTTCATTTCTATAATACTCAGACATTACATCTACTTTAAGTGGCTGCATTCTAAGAAAATGGTGACTTAATATGACACACTTAGAAACACTGGCCAATGGAAAATCATAGTCAAGGAAATCTTAGTTTGTATGATTATGCCTTATCCATTTTTAAACACACTTACCTATACTGAAACATGGGTAAAAGGAGATACTTATGTTATAAAATTCAAATGGAACTACATCTTATTCTCGTTTATGACATTCACTAGAATATATTAGATTATAAAGTGTACTCTTCTCATGACCTATTGGCTGTCACCCAGAGCCTAGAGAGTTTGGTAAGATATTATTTAATAAATACTGATTCTAGTCATATGTCTGGATGCAAAGCTGACTATATGTTCGCTGTCAAATCTCTAATGAAAGCACAGCCATATACTGTATTGGTGATATCACTCATAGTAAGTGTGGGCTAGATGGGTTACTGCCTCAGAATATTCGAAAGACCATTGTCAAAACCATCAGGGTAAGATTTCGGCCTCATGTCTAATACAATCTGGAATGTTCTGGTTACTATGACTACTGTAGGCTATGGAGATTATTTCCCTAAGACTAATATGGGGAGAATAATAGGTTTGATTATAGCATTTTGGGGAGTTTTTATTGTCTCCTTATTTGTGGTTTCACTCTCTAATATGTTTGAGTTTGATGGAGGAGAATTAAAGGCATTTACTTTGAATGAAAGACTATAAGCTAAAGAAGATTTAAGAGTAGAGGCATCTAATGTACTCAGCAGTGCATATAGACAAAGGCAAGTTATCTAGAAAAATCCAAATGACAGAGCGTAAATACTGAGTGCATTTAGGAACTTCAGAAAATATATGGTGAGATTCCAGTCAATTGCCAGATAAATCAGAGCATTCAGCTAGCATGAATCAGAGGTAAAGGTGCTTGGTAAGGAGATTGAAGAGTTAATGGAGAACATTATGAAACTCCAAGAAGATTAGAAAGAGCTGCAAGAGTTGTTTAAGAGTTTCAAAAAGAAAACTGAGAATATGACCTTTAGATCAATCCAAAGTTCACAGTGATCCTAAATGATACAAGTATATTTAAACAGTTAATCTTGATTTAATGACTTCATAAATACCTTAGATTTAGATATTGGGGTTTTGGGGTTTTGGGG